GATTTTAATGATATTTTTGAGGAATATATCATATAGGATACAGTTCAAACGGTCACTAAACTTTTTAAAAATGGGTATTCAGGCTCTGTACTTTTCTAAAAGACGAAAGTTATACTTTTTTAAATGGTTTACTTATCATTATAAATCACTAAATTTGAATTATCACAAATAATATGGCACTGGTATTGTAAATAATCTTTAACTTTTTTTAGCAACTCCATTTACTTTATAATTTAGAGATTCTAGTCCCAACTATTGATTAAGAAAACCTTGGCTTCGAAGTATTCCTTTCTGATATATTTTTGCATGACTTCTCATTTGGAAGGAAGAGTTAGCTGGAAGGAATTTGTGAAGTGTTCTTACCGGAAAAATAAGAAGGATTGCTGCAGGATGAAGACTCTTTGATTGTGCTAAGAAGTCTTCGACTAACCTCCCTGCCGTTCCGATGAACCTGTGCCACTCCTCCGTCCGTACTGTTGCAGATGTCCTCAGATTAAGAATTCAAACTTTACGAAGTACTCAATTCAAATTTGATAACCCATGACTGGCCAACTAATAAATAGATCTGCTAAGTATCCTTAAATTGTAAAGTAAATAAGGTATGCAGAAAGGTTAAGGATTCTTTACTATACTATTGTCTTATTATTAAGGATTATTCAACTTTCCTGATTTAAAATGATATCTAAATCATTCCCGTTTTTATAATGCTATATTATTTATAAATACAAACATAGCTTTTAAATTATTAGTGAAATCGTCTAAGGCAAGAGATTAACCCCAACCGTCGGTGTCTTGTTCCTTTGGCCGCAGTAAGCCCAGCTTAATAAAAGTAAGCGGACATAATTCCATTTAATATGCGAATCTATCGATTAAACAAGGAAACCAGATATCTAAGATGTGCTCGTAAACTATAATTGTGTTTATAATTGTATTTTAACTTAAAACTTCGATTTGATCTCTTATCATAATGTGGCTCTATCGAAAAATCTGTCTTATCTTTGAGGGTTACATTAGTGTCTTTTTATATTTTTCTCCAAAATGTTTCTTTTTATTAGCGTCATGAAGTTTGAACTGGAAGTTATACGAATTAGGTAAAAAGTCATTCTTTGCAATCGTCATTAGGCCAGAAGACACGTTCAAAGCATAGCTTGACGGTATTTTACTTTAAATAATTCTGTCTTGGTGCCATTATTTGATATTACTATCAATTATATCAACAGGGCCGCAGAAAAGAGTCCCAGAACTTGCATTCAGATCTGCTTGATATGTTGAATTATTCAGTAGGAAGATCATTTATCGAGATTTCACTTTTAAAGATAGGCTGGATTAAGTTAATAATTACTGAAATCACCAATATCTCTGTATTACTGGAAATAATCTTATATCTAGATAGGTAATACTATAGTAAATAAATTTCGAGTATATAGGATCTGTGAAATCACTAAAAGGCTTTATTGACATATTCACTTCAGTTTTTTTAGAATTAGAAGTTTTCTATTATATTACTCTACTCAGTTATAAACCTTTAGAAATCTTTTGTTTTCTCTTTGAGTTATTAACAATTGCCTCGTAAAGCGCAGAAAACCTCTTTACAACTTTATTCAATATAGCCGTTTAGGCTGAATTTTTATTTTGTCTGAGAGAACTCTTCATCTCTAAATGAAATCCTTGATATTGAATTAGAGTTCCAGTTCGCCATTCAACTTGATTTTAAATTATATTAACACTTCCTTTCAATGACAAACAAAAGCTATACTCGCTTTCGCTAACTTTGAAAGATGTTTGCTCGAGGTACAATACCGCATACACTATTTTAACCTTCGTAAAATGTTTCGGATTGAGACGATTCTAATTGTCACACTGCATGAATATCAAGGAGTTGTTAAGTTGTTGTTTGTATATTAGTTTAGATCTAATCATCGTTAATACTAGCTTATTAATAAATTAGTTTTATGGTACAATCGATTTTAGCAAACTTGACCTTATTTAAATTAGGTTCGCCAATATTATCTCTACAAGATTCTTCTTTTGTTGTATAATGGTAAACATGAGTTTTCTATAGCCTCTTTTTAAAGTTATAGTCAAATGAGGTTACCTTATATCGCTGGGATTCCTGTTGGCTTATTTAGAACCGAATATTCTTATAAAACTGTTTATAAGCTAAGCATATACAATGTCATCGTGAGAGATGATGGGAAGTACGAAAAGTTAATGAAAGAAGCGATTATGGTCATAGTCCTTGCACCGATTATTGTTTTCCCCATATACCTTTATGTGTGCTTCTCATCTTTGATGAAGCCTTACTGTGTGTTTGAGTCGTTTCTCAACTAATGCTAAACTCTATTAGCTCTTTTGTAGTTGGCTAAGATCCTTTTTAAACTATTTAATTAACTTAAATTTTACTTGCGGATACGCTTTCAAGCTTATTTTCTTAGCCTTATGTGCAGACAGAAATTCTAGTTTGTAGATGACTAGCTTTGTTAGTAGAACCTAGTATCGTGAAAGCATGCAGCCAGATTTTCTCCCTATGCGTTCATACAAAGTGCCAATCTCAGATTATTTTGAGATATAGTTCTCAGAGCTAATATAACACAATGATGGATGAGTATATGGTTTTGGCCTCTACAACAAAGATACTTTTTATCGAACTGTCTTTAACTGAGACTTTGGATGGATGTGTACATGCATTTTCAACTTTCTTTTATCTTCAAGAACTCCATATTTTATGGCGAGATGAAACTACAAAACATAACATGATGGGTTTTTGCAAAATAAAGCGGGGCTCAGCTGATAATCTATTTTCCATAGCATTTCATAGCAATTAAAATACGCTGTAAATGCATATCATGCAGAAGCCTATTTTGAGACTTCTCTGTCTCAACTTGGATACTTTCGTATAAAAATGAATCTTGCAATTTCAGATAGCCAAATATATTCCACATTTATGAGTAGTTCGGTTCATAGGCAACTAACGATTTTGCCCTTGCTTTAATATGATATAATAAGAATAGCTTTTTTATTATTTTATCTGAAATACATTCAAAATCCGTTTGTTCCACCTTTTATTTAATTTTTTCTACATGGCTTATTCAAAATAGTTTAACTAATTTTACTTTGGCATAGCAAATGTCATATCATACTTTTTTTCACGAACCGCATGAGTGTGAATATTGCATCATCCTATAAATTTTAATTATTACGTCTCAATAACTTCTTTCACAAGATAGTGCCAATAAATGCATGTTTAAGGCGCAGCCAAATTAAGAATTAGATATGGAGACCAAGGTGCTGTGGCCTTCTGTTTCTCTAGTAGGAAACAATTTTTAAAGCCAATTCCCAAGAGGCTAGGCGTTTCTTCCATTTGAAATTCTAAATATATATTTCCCGTTCGTAACTTTAATCTCTCCATCTGTACTCTAGACGCCTTCGCATCAGGATGTGCACCCATCCTATCAACTCTTATTAGATTCAACATCTTATTTTCTTGACTATTCTTGTGTCCTCAATTTTTCATACTTTATATTTCTATTTTCTTCTGTCTTTGACGTCTGATCTAGAATTCAACAGCCAAGCTTAACAACTCTTTACCAGCTGATAGGGAAATCATCATAAGCGGTCCTAATAACCAATCTACTCCCGCGTCCAACAATTACCATTCAAACGTCTCTTATGGATCAGCCGACGTTCCTCGTGGAACTCAAATTTCCCCTACTACTTCCCATGGCAATAGCTTCCTTGATTCATCCGCGTATGCTAAACATGTTTCTCCATCACTAAGCAGCCCGGCCAACGCTCCACCTTCCTATTCAGTACAACTTCCGACCACCAACGAAAGCAATGATTCAATCAAAACACCAGACTTACGTTCCAACATGATTAATGAGAATGGCTCTTCTACAACAGACGCCAGCACGAAGGAGAATGGCGTTCATGCACCAGCCGCTAAACTACCGATTGACACTGATGAAGGCTTGACTGCTGTTTGCTTATACGACTATGTGGCTTGTGCGTGTACTTTTCTTTAACATTACTTTGCCTATTTAAGATTTTATATTTATTTTCAAATAAGTTTATTGTTGCCATTATGGTTAAGATTATTATCATCATCTACATTGCATTGGTTCTATGAATCCATTATTCGGACTACATTTCCAATTATCTTTATCTATTTATTTAGTGCTTACTACAAATAAGTATCATATTATGAGATGCCTTGATCCTTTTTAGTTTACTGCGATGAGTAGACCCTACATCTCAATTGAATTTCACATATATTTTGCATCAATAGCTCAGATACATGGAATGTGTTCGTCCTATTTCGTTTAGGGTAATGAAGGAATGGCAAATTATTTTATTATAATGATAAAAGTAAAACTTACATTTCCATTGCATTTCACAGTCTTGTCTCCCAAAAGATTTTCACATCCAGGGCAAAATACAGCTTCGCATAGGTTCACCCTAGATGAGAATACCTTCAGGGAAGAAAGGCTATGTGAAGTTCAGTGGAAACGTATGGTATACTTTTACCATTGTAAGAAAATTTCACATTGTTAAGCATACTTCCATTTCAAGGGAAAATGTTTAGTGAAGAGATTTAGAGGTCGATTCCACCAGAAGACGACTGAGGATTCTTCTTCACCAGCTGTTGATTGGCATCACTGGAACATTTTTGTTGACGCTGCCACCGAGGCAATCTCGTTCGATTCCGGCGAAAAGGTGCTAAGCTTTCGTTCGTCATATGACGGACATCATCAGGGCGAGGTAACATTGTCACAACAAAATTCAAGTTAACGAGTCAAGATAACTCGACGCAAATCTTTAAAAAGCTCTATATATTTTCTATATCTGACGTCTGATGAGATATAAAGTGATTTTTTTAGTTCCAATCATATGTTAACCTCGAAACATGTGAGTTTGCCTGTTTTTGTATGTGTTTGTATCTATTTGTGTTCGCTTATCTACGAAACCAACAGATATGACTCAAAGTAATTATGACAGCAAAAGTAGCATCTGTTTTCGGTCATCAAGGTTTGATGATCACTATCTCTCCCTTTCAACATATATGTTAAAACTATCACTCCGATTGCGTAAGGTCGGATACACGTCTGGTTATGTTGATTAGCATTTTTGTCTTCACGCGAGAGAGAAAGCGTGAGCTAAAAGTACAGAGAAGTTGCTATAATTAGAACGAAGACAAGAAAAGCCTAGTTGACCCGCCTCATTTATGCAGACGCCTCAACACCTATATCCTTGAGTCTATTTATTAAGTACAAGTAATCTTCACTTATCTTCTGACCTGTATTCCTTACATTCAATGTATTTCCTATTCGGTTTATTTCGATGGTATCTTAAATTTTACGTTTAGCCGAAAAAATACCATAAATAGCAAGACGACAAGTTTGAGATCATTCATTCTCGTGTCCCGTTTCTGGTCTGTGCTAAGCAAGTTCCGATTTTTGAACCCAACAGCCTTTGCAGGCGCTTTTGTGCTCAGCCACTCTTTGTCGAATGAGACGACAAGTCTCTCCAACATAAAAGCGACCACATGAACAGATTATTTTGTAGCAACCCGATCTGGAAAATGAGTCAAATTTCTCTCTAAAAGTGGGCATAACTGAAGAAAGTGTCGTAGTTTCCCTGAAGATCGTTTTTATTTCCCACTTCCTTATTTGTTCACCTATTCTTTTAGAAAGAATGCAAAACATGAGATAAGTTCTTCTTATCTCTCCTTACGCATTCACTATTCTAAAAGCTATTCATTATTAATCTAATGATATTTTCTATCAAACCTAGGCTGACTTATCACAGGGCAAAAACGGGATACGAGATTGAATGTTCTCAAACTTCTCGTTTTGCTGATTATGGCATGTTTGAGGCTAAACGTAAAATTAGAGCAGCCATCGAAATAAACGGAATATGAGATCCTTTGAATGTAAGAAATACCTGCAAGAGGAAAAATAAAAATTACTTGTGCTTAATTAATAGGCTCAGGGATAGAGATGGTGTGAGCCGCCTGCGAAAAGGAGAAAACTCAACTTGTTATTTTTGTCTTGGTTCTAATCCTAATAACTTCCCTCTACGTTTAGCTCACTCTTTCGCTTTCCCATTAAGACCAAAAATAAAGAAAAAGGCTCAGAAACATAACCAGGCGTATGTCCGACCTTGCGCAATCGGAGTGATGGTTATATCATGTATATAAAAGAGGCAGATAGTGGTCATCAAACCTTGATGACCGAAAACACACATTACTTTTGCCGCCCTAATTACTCTGAGTCATATCTGCTGGTTTCGTGCATAAGAGAACACAAATAGACACATACACATACAGAGAAAGGCACACTCACATGCTTCGAGATTGATATATGACTATAACTAACCAAATCACTTTATATCTCATCAAAGAGGCCAGATATAGAATATATATAGAGCTTTTTAAAGATTTTAGGGGAGTTTTCTTGACTTGTTGCTCTGATGATGTTCGTCATATTACGGACGAAAGCCTAGCACCTTTTCACCTGAATCGAAGAAGATTACCTCGGAAACAGCGTCAACATGAATGTTTCAGTAAAGCCAATCGACAGCTAGTCAAGAGGAATTCTCCTTCGTTTTCTGGTGGAATTGACCTTCAATTCTCTTCAACAAACACTTTTATTTGAAATGGAAATAAGCTCAAAAATTATGAAACAAGAGATTCCTCGATATCCAACTTTTCTTCCCATAGAAAATTAAACAGTTGTCCCTTTATCGCCTTAAGCGAAATGTGGTTAACGCTTTTCATATATCTGATCTAATGGTAGTAACACCACTCTAAGAAAGGCTTTTACTCATTCTGTATTTTCGGATCAATTTGGATACTTGAGACATCGCTCAAAGGTTATTTTACTCAGAACCACTCTTTATCGTCCTTCCTTATTTGACTGGTCTATTACAGCCATAATGAACGATGTATTAGTATGTAACATGAGTAAAAACGTTCTGTTTCAAATTAATACAACTTCAACCATTATTCTGATAAGCTCTTTACATAGAAACAAGAGATTATGGAGCATCTCAAGCAATATCGGTAACCTAGAACTGGACGCAAACCCTCCTTTATTTGTAACCTGCTCTGGATATTTTAAGTACGGACACGGGTATAAGTTAGTAAAACGGCAAATTCTTATTCCAATTATTATTTACCCTATTTTCATTCATCAGTTTACTATTAAGTCTAGAGAACGTAAATGAGGAAAATGGGATGCTGAATGCATGCCTAACTGCTTCTTCTAATAAACCGTTTGCTCCCCCAATAGCTTTGCCTTTTTCACCGAGCCCCTTTACAAGGAATTGACTATTTAATCTTGGAATTTTATGTTTTTCCCTTGTTTACCACATCCATCTTCATATTTTAATACTACCTATCTTTATTCAGTACTATGAGGAATCTTCTTCGAATCTAAACTGTCTTGAACAACCTTACCAGTCATGACTTTTCGCCCTTATTCCCAGTTCTTTAGTTGCTAAAAAATCACACGCCATTGGCCTAACCAATTCGTCTATATCAATCAATTTTTGAATTCGGTTTTCAATTTTCTTTTATTCCACACTTTTAGTAGACCTTGGAGACAGAAAAAAGTCTCCTCTCTAACTTAGAACAGCCTAGTAGCTCTCCTATTATCGTTCTGTCTGTCGCATTTTGCTACTTCTTTTGTTGCATTTATTTTATTTTACATAATAGGAAACTGTATTCTGCCTCTTCCTTGGCATGATGCAGGGTTCGCCATTAGCAAATGAGGTGTGTTTTCAGAGTCTACATTAAGAACGATTTTATAATGAAGAAAACCTAGTTTGAGCCCATGGGAAATGTAAGTATCTTCAAGTAAAAATATAAGCGACTCTAAACACTCTAATTACTCTTTATTATCAATGAGTTGACGAAAGGCTACATAAAAATTAGGTTATTGAAGTTATTTCATATGTGGGAAATAAACTAGCTTGTATCAGAGTTATAATCATTTTCAGCTTTATTTAAAAGGCTGCTGGAAACTTATGTATAGACTTAAAGACTGACATTTAAAAAAATTTTTGTCTGGCCTAAGCCTCCTATACTTCTTTTACTTTTCGCAAATCTTTAAAATTTGAATAAGATATGGGTAAGTTTAGTCTACATTTTCTGAGAATTTATCCGGGCAACAAGCTAATATAAATGTATTACAAATACGATAGGACGACACATGACAAAATTTGTTCGTTTATGCCTCATACTTAAAAAACCTATGTTTATGAATATAAAAGTGCCTAAATATGCAGCAGCTTTTGAAAATCTAGTTGATTAACACCTCATCTGTTCCTTATATTTAGTCGTTATACTTTAATAAATGTACTTATGTTAGTTTCACCTTGTAAAAAAGAGATCTCTGTAGGATTGTTCAACTTACTTCTATTTCGAGTGAAAGTGTTTGGTGAAGAGATTCGAAGCTCGAGCCCACCAGAAAAGTCGGAGGATTCCTCTTGACTAGCTGTCAATTGGCTTTACTGGAACATTCTTGCTGACACTGTTTCCGAGGTAATCACATTCGATTCCGGTGAAAACGAACATCATCATAGCAGGGCATCATCCCTACAACTTTATTTAAGCTGAGTAAAGTCACTCGAAGTGCAAGTAAGCTTAACAAATATTAAACAAGAGATTTATCGAAATCAAACTTTTATTTGCATATACCCTTTAGGAATTTAGAGCCAATCATGTTTTCAGTTCTCGTGATTACATCGTGGACCTCTGGCTTTGGTGAGTTTAGGACATCTTTTGGGAAGCAGGGCCATATGAAATTCAATGGAAACGTAATGTCTACTCATATCATTGTGGGAAAATTAAAATGCCAGTCATTGATCACTTTAAATGAGATTGGATGAGCACATCTGATAATGAAATAATAACTCATTGCCTGGGATACTATAGGACTTATTGGGGAAGTTATCACAATGAAATGAGTAGGCCTTACGCTGCTTTTGCATTCTGGACAGTTTTGCCTCCCCACAGACTTGT